GGTAAAGGATTATACCTTCTTGGAGCTCCCCCAAGAAGTAACTAAGGGAGAGTGCAGCAAAGTCTACCGTGTGGAGGTCATCATAGCTACTTTTTAGTGAAGAGATAGAGCTCCAAAAGTTACCAAAGTGGTGTCTCCATTGTCTGGTCTTGGCGGTGATGAATCCAGTGATGATAATTCTGTTTCCCCCACCACTGCAGATATAGCATTTTTACCTCTGGCCCAGGAGTTACTCAACTATAACTATGATGAGACAAGTGAATTACAAGAGGAGATTTTGGAGAGGAGAGTCAGCAGCCCATTATTTTCTCCTGCGTCCTGTGTACACTTGCCTTCTGTATCTTCTCAAGCATCTCAAAGTCCACCTGTATCTACTTTGGAATCACCTCATCCAATGGAGACATTTGAAACATCAGCTGCGCCTACTACTGGTGGCACAAGTAGCTCACCCACTGTTATTGTTACCACCACTACCATCAGCACCACCAAGTGCTACTGGTTAGGTGACCAATGCAAAGGATTGAGGGTACTGTATTGTGCCAATGAAGCAAACTTTGGGATCACTTTGAGTGCCTCAAAAAAGGCTGACTTGCACAGTGTAAGTTGTGCAGCAAAGAATTGAGTAGAGGGAGAGTGAAGGCTCATCACACTAGTGCCAGTACAAAGCAACATCTGAATACACCAAATGCTTGTATTACTGATAGGAAAAGCACAACAAGAATTTATTAGGACAGTAAGCAGGTCCATTGGTGCTGTATCGGTGTAGCTGTCACCACCAACCCACCTTGGTACCTTCTCCACTAATACTACCACCACTTTTAAGCAGAGCGGTTTGGATGGTGAAGATAGTGCCGGTAGTCTGCAGAGGCAGACTGGAAAGGAACAGTTAGACTTCTCATCAGCTGGCGAATTTAAAAAAAAGTTCATCTTGCCTAACTGCTACTGTCAGTGCCACTTATACCCACTTTGATTCAATGTTTTAGAATTGTTTTACACATTTGAGCATTTGTAGAACTTTTAAACACAACTTCAACTGCTGTAATGCTGATCATTGAAAGTGATAGTGGTGGAGCTCTAGGATTAAATTATACCTGTGCAGCATTAACTGCTAGAAAATATGGACGTAGGGTAGGAAAAGGGTTACGGATTCAGTAACCTGTTTCAGAGGAATCCAGGAGTGTGTCCAAAACTGTTCTACCTCTTTGTTTAGCCCATATTTGTCAATTTTGGAACACATATGAGATTTCAGTTTAATAGGCTTTAATTAAAGCTAGACCTCCTAAAATAGTAAGCTTCCAGGAGGCATAGTGTTAAAAAATAATAAAGAAAACATCAAACAGTTGCTGCTCTATTTTCAAGTCATGTGTGGTAGTGTGTTAATCATTAATATCAAGATAGAACAGCACCTAGTATTAATCAAAGCAGAATTATGCAATGGTCTCCTGTAATCCATCATTCTTTTTGCGTCTGTATGTAGGTTTAATGTAATCAAGTCAGGTCCAATGTGTCTATCTCCATCTCCAAGATGTGTACCTTTTAAAGCATGGCTATCCCCAGTGCATTTATTATCATACTGGATAGTATATGAAGGGTTTATATAATTAAGCTTCATTAAGCTTAATTTGCAAGTAACTAATTACTCTTTCTTAAAGAATAGACCAGAACTTCTACCAGTCCACACCATGTAATGAGGAAACTTTATCACTCATGGTGCGATGGAACGAGACAATCTATGGAAGAGGCAATTGGATGCCAGTAAGCTCACGTGATCTTCTATTAAAGGCACGCACCACTGCTCAAATACAGACAATAAAAATCACTATTTAGTTGATATAGCACCAATAGAAACATGCATGTATTTAATTATGCATTTTTGTAATTGGGGTATATCTAAAAACAGCAAACAATGCTGCAGATTTCTTGTTTGCAGCCTTTGCAAACCCTCCCTATCTAACACCGCCTTTTTGTGATGATCCAAACACAGACTTCCCAATACCTCAATGAGAATCCCTTGCAAGGCAGGTGTGCTGAGCAATTGCATCATCTTAAAGTTAGCTCCACTGAGCTAAACGGAGCAGGACTTAAGAGGACCTGTTGATCGACATAAAAGTGTAAATTTATATTAAAATCAGAAGTTTTGGTAAAATGAAAAAAAGAGGACACACTGTTTACATATAAAATATTTCAGCAAGCTGAGTTTTTTTAGGTGTCTGGAGTGCCCCTTTAAGGCTTGTTTTAGCTTCATTTATATGAAGTGACATAATTCTACTAGGAGGTCCAGGTAGAAGATATCAACCAAGACCACCCAAGTAGGAAATCTATACCCATGTCTTTAGGAGCCCTGCCATGTTTTTTTTTTTTTTTATAGATATCATCTTTGCAAGTGGCACTAACGTTTGCAAGGAAATTTGCATTTGCACCTGAAGAGCGAAGTGTGTGTACTTCTCTGGGTACACATCTATCTCACTGAGATTGTAGGATGTACAACATGCTAGAGCTGAGAGCAGAGTAATGGCATGATTACTGAGTAGTGATCATTACATTGAATTCTGAGTGTCTTGGCACAATATATATACATGTGTTCAGTGGCAATATGCAAAAACCTCAAACTGCCGACACTAGACCACCAAAAAGGTCCCACATTCAAGGCTCAAGGCCCAGAAATAAAAAAAAGTCCTAAGACACTGTAAATGCTCTCCTGTTATTATTATTATTGATATTTATATAGCGCTAACTTATTCCACAGCGCTTTACAATATTATGCGGGGGGGGGAGGGGGGGAATTTAACAATAAATGTGACAATTACAAAAATGTTACAGGAACAATAGGTAGATGAGGACCCTACTCAAACAAGCTTACAGTCTAGAGAACATGGGGTATAAAAACAATAGGGCAGCCAGGGGGGCAGCAGCCAGACAAGATGGAAAAGGAGCAGGACTGGAGGTGAGAGTGTAACATGGCTCTTTAGGAGAGAGCAAGAGACAGATATGTGACTGTCAGGATTACAGAATGATCCAGCACGTAGAATTGTATAACACAGAGGACTGATAGGTAACGTATACCGGACCTTAGAATGGCCGCACTAACGTACCAAAGAATAGTCAGAAGGTCAAGGGATACAGAAAGAGACACAACGATAAGGAAAAGCCAGGGGTCAGGGATGCCAGAAAACAAGGAAGTCAAAAACAATGCCAAAGTCAAATAACCAGAATAACCAGAATCAATAACGTGCTCTCAGACAACTAAGGGAAACCACGACAGGGCACTGAGCAGGATGAGAACTGGGCCTAAATACTCCTCCTCTAGATCTGACCCCAAAGGCAGTTACCAGATTCCCATTTGCATAATTGCTGCTCAGCATTAACCCTTCTGTGGATTTGGTTGCTGCTCGGCACAACTTTTCCTGTGTGGACAGTAAATGCCATTAACCACATTTTTATAAGCGGATGAATACGTGAAAGTGACATAGACATTACTCTGTGAGGACATAAGCATTTCTGAACAGATGGGTTTTGAGGGACTTCTTAAATGATTGCAGACTAGGGGAGAGTTTGATGGGGGTTGGCAGGTTGTTCCAATGGAAAGGAGCCACCCGTGAAAAGTCCTGCAAGTGAAAGTCATCAGCAGAGCAGAGAGACAGAGAGAGGGAATATCTATGAATCAGTGAAGAAATGCAACAGGGGCTACATTTGTTTAAAGGTAAGGGCTAGTGTTTAGTATTGACACCTATAGAATACAAAAAGCCAGTGTAAGGATCAACTGAGCGATGAGGTATGGGAGGAGTGAGAGGTGAAAAAAATCATCCTGGTGGCAGTATTCATTACAGATTATTATGGGGCAGTTCGGCTTCTGGGGAGACCAACTATGAGAGAATTGCAGTAATCCATGCAAGTGATTACTAGAGCATGAACAAGCTCCTTGGCAGAATCTTGTGTAAAAAAGGAGCAGATGCAGGCAATGTTTTTGGTGGAATTGACAGATTTTAACAACATACTGTATATGAGGTGCAAAGGTTTGGCCAGGAGCAAAGATAACACCAAGACAACAAGCTTGCAAGAATGGACTGATGCAATTACTGTTACTTTCAGGGAAAGTGAAAGAGGAGGATCAGCATTATGAGGAGGAAAAAATAAGAAGCTCCGTTTTAGAGAGATTAAGTTTAGGAAAGTGGGATGACATCTAATCAGAGATTGAAGAAAGGCAGGAGGTGACACGTTGTAGGACAGTGGGAGAAAGAGCTGGTGAGGAGAGATATATCTGGGTGTCATTGGCATACAGGTGGTAGCAGAATTAATGAGTTTGCCAAGAGAGGTAGTATAATGAGAGAACAGAAGGTGACCCAGGACAGGTCCTTGGGGAACTCTGACCGAGACAGGATGAGGGGAGGAGGTGTCATTGAAAAAGGAGACACTGAACAAAAGTTGGAAGAGATAAGAGGAGAACCACGAGAGGACAGTGCCACAGAGACCAAGGGATTGACAGAGCAGTCTCAGTAGAGTGGAGGGGGCAGAAGCCAAATTGAAGAGGTTCGAGGAGAGCGTTGGAATTAAGGAAGCGAGCCAAACATGTAAAGACATGTCTTTTCTTGCTAAAGGCATCAAAACCTTTTAAAAGGATAAGGTAAGGTATACTAAATTGCCAAACATCTAAAAGATGTATATTCATTTATGGAAATGACTGAGCTGAAGAGCAGTTGCAGGTTCTATAGCTACAAGGTATATGAAATGCAATTGATGTTTAGAAAGCCAAACTTTCAAGAGGACAATTAGGCCAAAAACAAAGACAAGAGTTTGTATATAATTTTATAGTACCTCTAATTCTTCTTTTCTTTTTATGTATCTAAAATACAGGCTGGGACACAGCGGAGGAAACTGAGACTTATGCATTTCGCACCTTAATGGCACTTTATGAGAGAACAACAAAGTTTCATACAGAATGGCTAAGCAAAGGACAATATAGAAAACAAAAACACTGAATCAAAAATTATGCAGCATAAAGCAACAGTCATCTCTCTGTCTTGTTCATGCTGCATGCAATTATGCAGCATGCAGCATGAACAAGACAGAGAGATGACTGTTGCTTTAACTATAAACTGCTTTGTAGAGAAACAAGTACAAAAATAACTAGGCAACACGCAACCCTGATTAAAACATAAATGCGGCAAAATAAAAAGTGTAGATATAGTCAGTATTATACATTTTTACAGAGATTTTGGTTGTTCACAAGAAATATGTACTTTACATGGTATGTGGGCATTTATCCACTAATTTCTTTGTGATCAGGGCTAAGTCAATCATAATCATGTCTTCTCGGTTTGTAGATTAAAAATCCATAGATCCTCAGATGTTTTTCAGTTTTAAATATCATTATGATTATAAGATGATAGACAGGTTTCTTTACATTTATATATTGTGGCCCCATGTAGCTAGAGCACAGCTAAGCGGAAAAGGGCCTTGACAGGGTTTAGGAGGCGGGCATAGGAGGAAGTAAGCTAGGAGTGGAGTTATGGGTGAGTAGGTTTGGCTATTTAAATAGGCAGCCATTTTAGGTGAGTCATTTCTAATTTCCTACCTGGTCGAGTTTGTGTTCACTTCTGTGTTCACGGTTTTGGCCTGGTAGGGTTTTTTTTTCCTCTTTTGTCTTTCTGCAGGGCCGATGGACGACGTGGAGCGGCTGTTGGAGGGGATCCGGTCAGCGGCGAGACTTCAAGGTGCCCACTGGTTGCGGGCCCAGCTGGGCCCAGCCCTGGCGGTGGCGGCAGAACTGGACGGCGGAGGTGGACGACCGGTCCGGGTCAGGAGGCTAAGACCGGGCGCGGGGCCTGGTGAAGGTGATCCTGGAGGTCGTGGGGAATCCAGAGCAGGCAGCAGCAGGCCCGGTAGCCACGTGGTTGAGGCCCCGGCCGCTCGGAGCTGTGCCCGGCGACGGGTGGATGCCAAGGACCGGGGCGTCGCGGCTCCCGGGGCGGAGGTGGACGGGTGGCCCCCTGGAAGGTCCGGGAGCACGGAGGGGCCGCCCAGGAGGGCTCCTACCCCGTTGGAGGTGGCGGATGACGGGGCCGGAACCGGGAAGACACGCAGCTGGCCCCTGGGTCAACAGGCAAGTGCAGGGGGCTCCGGCCGGGGCCCTCTTGGCTGGCAAGGCACGGGGGGAGATCCACAGGGGAGCAGGGGCTGGGGGCAGCAGCGGGAGGAGGGCAGACACTGTAGGGCTCTCCAGTTAGGGAGTGGGGGTTGGCGGGAGAGCTCAGGGCAGCGCTGGGGGTCACTGGAGGTGCGTAGTCTTAGGGGGGGTCTAGTTCAGGGTATAGTAGTGGTAGTCCTTCGCCAGTTAGGACCACGGGGTCTGGTGGGATGGTAGGTAGGTCCCGGCAGCACTGGTCCGCGTCAGGCAGCTCGGCCGGGGATAGGGCAGTAACCCCCAGGCGCGGTCGGCGGGGCCGGTCCCCGGGCAGGGACGGGAGGAGTCGTAGTCCCAGGGGCACCTAGGCGCAACGCGTGCGGGGCACTGGGCGGGAGGCTTTGGTGGCGGGCAGGCGCTCCCAGGGTCGGGACGGGAGCACGGGCTCAGTACACCCTACCCAGTACTTCTTCTCCTATTTCCAGGTTTCTGAGCCGTTTCCCCTCTGTACAGGAGAGTCACCGGGTTGGCTCCCCGGTTGGCAAGATACCAACGGATGATGCTCATGCTTGATGCCAGACACTAGACAATGCAGCCCCTGCTGCTCCGGCAGAGATGCTGGGGTGACGACGGATACGGCAAATACAGGGAGTGAACGGGCGGAATTGTCTGGGGGTGTTCCCGATGCGGCTAGAAAGCAAGTGTATGTTTCGTTCGCGGGCCCGCTGGGGGTACACCTGAAACAGGGCGTGAAGGAAAAGATCTGGAAAGGTGAGTTCTGCGAGATCGTTTCCCTTCTCCCCTTGGAGGACTTTATTGACCTCAAGGAGGACGATAAAAAAGACGAGAAGAAAGAGGAGGAAGAAAAATGGAAGCGGTATCGTAAGATTCCGAAGTCGTTTGGTAACTGGTTGAGGGCGTTTTGCGTGCTGGCCAGCGTGCTCGGCAAGAAATCGCAGAGGTTATGCTCATCCCTGTTCTGCTACTTGGACGTAATTTGGTAGGCGTACCGCACCTATGGGGGGTTGGCATGGTGGCAGTACGATGAGCAGTTCCGGCAATGGCTGGCAGCGAATCCAGGTATACGGTGGGATTAAATGGACCTGCCTCTCTGGATGAAGCTGATGATGGCGCAGAAGGCGCAGCCCTTTCAGCACACGGCCGGCGCAAAGGGGCAGTCCGCCTCGTCGGCCGCCTTTCAAAAGGGCTTATGCTGGCTCTTTAACGAGGGCCAGTGCAAATGAGGGACCATCTGTTGCTTTAAGCACGAGTGCTCCGGCTGCGGGGGTGCTCACAGGCTCAATCGATGTTTCAAGAAAGGAAAGTTGGGAATTGCCGAGGCTAGACGCGATGGAGCCGCGGCTAAGCCGCTACGGTAATAGGGCGGATGCCGCAGTACTCAGGGCAGATTTTGGGCGCGGGTTTTTCATTCCATTCTGGGAACGGCTGGGCATGGGGAGGTTGCACAACCTGAAATCAGTTGCGGACTTCCCGGGTGTGGTGCGGGAGAAGCTGGACAAGGAAGTCGTGCTGAGAAGGATGGCGGGCCCGTTCCCGGTACCTCCGTTGTAGGGCCTACGGGTTTCCCCTCTAGGGGTGGTTCCAAAGAAGGAACCGGGGAAGTTCAGGCTCATTCACCATCTCTCCTACCCGAAAGGGAAGTCGGTGAATGACGATATTAACAAGGATTTGTGCTCGGTCTCGTATGCATCATTCGACCGGGCGGTCGAGCTGGTAAAACGGGACGGGCGCTGATGGCTAAGGTGGATATCGAGGCCGCGTTTCGGCTGCTGCCGGTCCACCTGGATTGTCATCACCTGCTGGGGTGCTTTTTCGAAGGGGCGTATTTCGTGAACTTATGCCTTCCTATGGGTTGTTCCATCTCGTGCTCCTACTTTGAGAAATGTAGTACTTTTCTCGAATGGGTGGTGCGGGTTGAGGTGGGGAGCAGTTTGGTGGTGCACTATTTGGATGATTTCCTTTGTGTGGGGCCAACTGACTCTTCTGCATGCCTGCACATACTTTGGACAATTGAGTGGGTGGCGGGCCACTTCGGGGTTCCGCTGGCAGCATATAAGACGGAGGGCCCTGCCTTAGTTTCCTGGGGTTAGAGATAGATTCAGTTCTGGGGGAGTGTCGGCTTCCGCGAGCGAAGCTGGAAGGGCTAAAGGGGGCGGTGGCAGCTGTGGCACTGGCGTGCAATGTCACCCTGTGGCAACTGCAGTCGTTGATTGGGATGCTAAACTTTACATGCCATGTGATACCAATGGATAGGATCTTCAGCCGCAGCATGTCGGCTGCTACGGTGGGGGTTCGATTCCCACGCCATTTCATTCGGGTATCTGCGGCCATGAGGGCTGACTTGGACATATGGGATACCTTCCTGCGGGATTTTAATGGGACGGTGTTCTTTCGGCAGGAGGGCATGTCGGCAGCGGAGTTGGAGTTGTTCACAGACGCGTCGGGTAGCGTGGGCTTCGGGGCATACTTTGGCGGGACATGGTGTGCGGAGAGGTGGCCGGAAGCGTGGGGGTCGAGCTCCCTCATGCGCAACCTGGCTTTCCTGGAATTGTTTCCGTTGGTCGTCACGATGGCACTGTGGGGTTTTTCACGTGCGCCATGTTCCCGGTTTCTTGAACGAAGTGGCTGACGCTCTGTCTCGTTTTCAGTGGTCCCAATTCCGGGCGGTGGCAACGGAGGCGTTGAAAGTGGGTCAGGCATGCCCGGACGAGATATGGCAGCTGGGAGCATCCTATTTAGGGGACTTGTGAAGGCTTCACTGGCGCCGGCCACATGGGCCGCCTACAGTAAGGTCTGGGACTCTTGGGAACGGTCGTTGGAAGGGCTGGATCGTGTATTAATTGGGGAATCGCTCAGGGATGCTTTTCTGTGGTACACTTGTCAATTGCTGGCAAAGGGGGCGTCCCCGGCAGTGGTTGACAGGTCCATGGCAGTGTTGGCTTTCTGGTTCAGGCTTTCTGGTTCAGGGAAGGAGGATCTTACCAAGACCTTCGTCATCAGGCAAGCGTTGAAGGGGTATCGGAGGGGCCGCAGGCTGCCTGACACTAGGTGCCGGTATCGGTGCGGGTGTTGGGGGATATGGTCAGAATGTTGCCTGAGGTTTGTTTCAACGGGTTTGAGGCGTCTCTGTTCAAGGCAGCTTTTCTATTGGCCTTTTTCGGGGCTTTCCGAATAGAGGAGTTGGTGAGCGCTAATAGGGCTGCGCCCGGGGGTCTACTGGTTTCGGGGGTTCGGGTTCTGGAAGGGAAAGTGGTGGTGCACCTGGCCAAATCCAAGACGGACGTCAACGGCGTGGGCCGGGATGTGAAGCTATGGGCCTTACCGGGCGCTGCACTGTGCCTGGTGGCCACAGTGGCGGAGTACCTGGCCCGGAGACCGGCGCTAGGGGGATCCCTGTTAGTACATGCGGATGGCTCTTCCCTTTCCCAATTCCAATTTACCAAGGTTTTTCGGTTGGGCCTAAGGAAGATGGGGCTACGGGCGGAGAGATTTGGAACACACTCCTTTCGCATTGGGGTGGCCACGGAGGCCACACGGTTGGGTCTGGGGGATGAGATAGTGAAGCGAATAGGGAGATGGGAGTCGGTGCGGTTCCATTCATATGTGCGGTTGGGTTTACTGGATTAATAAAAAAAAATTTTGAAAAAGGTGGGCCTATCCTGGTAGGGGCGTTTTTTTTTCCGTCTTTTGATTTCTCTCACTGTCTGTTTTCTTCTCCTCCCCAGGCCGTGTTGCATGGATCGTGGGCCATTCATTTGTCTTCTGGGCTGAGAGGAGGGCTGGAGCTCAAGCTCAGGGCCAGCAGCTGGGCTTTCCAAGGGACCAATTGGCAGTGCAATGGTTTAGGTACAGGGGATTTTGCTGGGGGGAGGTCTGCAGGACAGTGTTTCGGAAGATAGCGGGTGGGCAAAAACCGGACCTGTTGGTCCTCCATGC